GAAAAGGTTGAATTTCAGTAGTTTTCAAGTTGATATCCTGTTCATGTTATTATTTGCATAAAAAATAAAATAATATTCTATTTTTTAGAAATGATTTCAGCTATGTAAGTGCATCAAAACATGAAAATCAAAATAATCTTTATATTTCTCACACATTAATTTAAAGTCTGCCTTATCAAGATCATTATTTTTATGTTGAAGGAGTTTTTAAAAAACGTCAACATGTACAAATTTTTAATGTTGTCCCTGGTAATATTGTGAGGCATGGTAGAGAGAGGGTGAGGGATTATTAGAAACAAACTGGATTTCAACCCTGCTTCTGAGAGGCAGTTCTGACTACAAAGGGCAGGTGATGCTCTGGAGCCAGGGAGTAGGAGCTTTGATCCTCTGGAACTGTAATAAACAACTTAGAGTAAATAAATCACACAACAGGGTGCCTGGAGGAGTTGGGTATTCTCTCTGTGTTGGTTTTCTTTGTTTTTACAGGGCTAATCTCATAAATGTTGCACTAGGCACAATACTGTGCATTTTTAGTACCAGTTATCATATTTTTACATGTGTTTACTTCATAAAAGTAAGCACTTTTATGCTCCCTTTAAAATGTGGTTCTTCTATTTGAATTGCCTGGTAAAGGCAATCAGGGCCCCATTGCCTGAGGAACTCACTCATGGGGCACACACACACGTGCACATACACGCACACACAATCTACATAGTCATCTGTCTTAGCTTGGGCTGTTATAACAAAATGCCATCGATTGGGGCTTCAACAACAGACATGTATTTCCTACAGTTTGTAAACTAAAAAATCCAAAATCAGGGCAGATGTCATTTATTGTCAAGACCATTTTCCTGGCTTGAAGACGGCCACCTTCTTGCTATGTCCTTATTTGGTAGTGAGAGGAAGATCTGGAGTCTCTTCATGTTCTTATAAAGGTACTAAGCCCATCATGGGGCTTCAACTTCATGAACTTGTCTACAACTAATTACCTCTAAAAGGCCGCACCTCCTAATATCATCACTTTGAGGGTCAGGGCTTAAAAATATGAATTTTTGAGGGGAGAGAAACATTCAGTCTATAACTCACTCACTGTATCTATCTGTTTATCTGTCCATCCATTTATCCCTATGTATACAACAGTAGCAAAAATGGTTTACAAGTCACTACCCTATATTATTTCATTTTAACATTTCAAAAAGCTTGTGACATAAACAGGCCATAGAAAAGGCTTTGAGTTCACTGCGACTTTTAAAGGTTGAGTCAACTGCTTGCGATTGTACAACCAATATACAGCGGTGCGAGAAATTCAGATCACATCTTCCCTGCCGTCCTCTCTTCCCACTTGCTGACCCAACTCCTGCCACATTGCATACTAACTGCTCACTAAGGGTTCCACGTGTCCTTTTTTGGAGACTTTGCAATGATTATTCCTGTTATCTGGAATGCTTTTCCCTCAGAGAGCTGACCCAATTGCCTCTCTCTACATTTCATTCAAATGTCACCTTCCCAGGGAAGGTGTGTCTTGTCAATAGCTTAAATTGAAACTCCTCCTTCTCACTTGCCACAGTCTCAATCCTTGGACTGCTTTGTTCTACATAGCACTTGTTACTGGCTAACCTACCAGATGATTCCCTAGTTTTTTATTATTTTTATTTCTCTCACTGGAATATAGGGTCCACAATGTCAGGAGTTTTCCCTTTCTTCTAATTGACACTCCTACCTATAATAGTGCATAGCACATCCCAGATGTTCAAGAGATAATGTTAAATAGAAAATTCATGAGTGAAATGCCTTCCAAGCATTATGGTAACTGCATCTTCTACAGGCATCTCATGCTTTAAAAAGTGGAACTTGTATTTTTGCAAAAATCACTCATGTTCATCTATCCAAGCTAGATGGGCAGAATGGACTGGGGTCCCATGGGGCCACCCTTTTCACTTCCCTCCTACCTCCTCACCATCTCAACTCCTTTAATAATTGACATCAGCTCCTTTAGACCAGGGTCTCATTGTTTCACCTTTGCTTGGGTCACTGCAGTGTCACTAAACCTTCTTGACTCTGCTCTGGCACCATTTACTTCTTCCTTCTCACACAGAGAAATGTTTCTAAAATCTACATACAATCTTGTCACCTTTTTGCTTACTAATACTTTGATAAAAATGGACAAGTGCCTCATCAGGGTATTTAATTTTATCCATTTATGACCTTCCTTATTGAACCCTACAGGTGCATCCCCCAGCTTTGGTTTCACTCTTCAGACACAGAACACCTGTCTGCTGTCCCATGTCATCTCCCTCCCCTCCTTGTTACAGTGCTGTTGCTTTGACCTGGAAACAGTCCTTCTGCACTTGACTGTTCCCTTCTCTCCATTGAGGGTGCAGTTCATATTTAATTTCCCCTGGAAGTAGTTTATGTTCTCCACACCTGCTCCCTATATCTCAGTGCTTACCTGTTCAGTTGAACTTTTGGTCTAATCATCTGTCTTTCCCTCTGCATTGTAAATGTTTCTGGAGCAAGAGATGTCTTTCAACTCCACACCTCTAGGGCCTAGCACAGAGTCTAGTGCAGTCATCACTGAATAAATAATGAAATGAGTTAGAGGCTGAGAGAAATGCTGTATTTCTCTCTTGTCCCCATCTTCGGATGGTTTCCCTGGGTTGGAAATGCCTTAGGAAAGATGGAATTTTCAGCAATGAAGTCTAGTGGAGACACAGTAGGACTCAAGGGTCAGCCAGAGCTGGGTGTGGTTGTAACTGCTGTAAGTCGATGTCACAGCGTTTACACCAGAGCCAGGCCAGGTATCAAAGAGAATCTTTTCTGATATTTTTAAGCAGCATGGGAAACTCTAAGTAAGGTTAAATTTTCAGTAATGGCAGAGCAGACACGAGCTCTTCCTTGCTTTGTTCCTCTAGATGTAAGAAGCTGGATGCCAAGCCCGGCCCTCTGAGGGGAGTGGGAGTGCGTGAGCACGACTGGCCCGAGTCTCACCTAAACACAGACACACAACAAAAAGGCATTCATGCATTTTTAAAGACTAAAATCAGAAAGTGAGTTTTCCACACACATCGGGGAGGATCTGGCCTCCATTGAGGTCGGGGTGGTTGGAGAGAAGAACAGGGGGAAGAGGCGAGGGTGGTGCAGGGTGGCTACCCCCGCGTGCTATTCCCGGGGAATCGGGAAAGTCCTTGTAAAGTCTGGCTCAACACGTCACCCCTCATACACGTCAATTCCTCCTCCACAGTTGACTCAAAGGACAAAGACACACGAGCAGAAGCAGATTAGCAGAAGAAGGGTTTTATATACACCATGTGGGAAAGAAAAGGGCCCACTGAGGAAAGTGGGCGAGGGGAAGGGAGAACCTGCACACAGCAGGGGCCTGGGGCAGACACATGGGGCCCAGAGCTCCCCCCACTCGTATGGGGCCCAGAGCTCCCCCCACTCGTAGGGGCTGCGGGTCTCATCAACACCAGTTGGCCTGGACTGGCTGGCCAGCAAAGCAGTGCGGTCCCCAGTGCCGGGCATCCCGTGGCAACTCCAAGCCTGATGTCCTGGCTGTGTGAAAGGCGACAGCACCTGGGTTGCTGGCTGGGTGTTGATAGGCCCATGAGCAAAACCGATGGCATCAGGTGGGGCACCGGGTGTCTGGGCTGCAGGAGAGGCCAGGCCTATAGCTTGTTCTTGCATTGCTTCCTTTCCCGCATGAGAGATTGGCGAGACTGTTGCTGTCCATCAGGGGGCTGAGGGGTGACTCCTCGACTAAGACGATACTTGGACATTGCAGTTAGTCCCCTGGCTGACTGTCCAGGCATGCCCATGCCTTTAGAGACTTGTGCTGAGGCAATGCTGTCACTGGGTGGTGTGTTCCCAGGAAATCCCATTTAAAAAGGGACGTCCTTCCTGGAGACAGGAGGAGACCAGAAGCTGTCCGCCTTGGAGGGAAGGGTGGAATCCATAGCACTGGTGTCAAAGGCAGGCGCAGGGGATGCTATTGCAGAGGCGCTGCCGCCAGCGTGGAGGTAACAGGAGGAGCCGTGATGGGACGGCTCATAAAGACAGGCGCCCTGGGAAAAGAGGCTCCCTGCTGCTGCCCATCAGGCCTCCCTAATGTGGGCCGACATTGGTTTCTAGGCCAATGAGATGGGTACAGTTAAAATTTGAGGTGGGGCAGTGGACTATAAGTGCACATGGGCTGATGGGGACTCTGGTCTTTGCAGGGCACCTCTGTTCTGCACTATGTGAGATTGGGGAAATGGAAGAGAGCTTGCACTAGAGCTTGGGGGACAGCTGAAAATAACAGCCATAGACAGAGGGGTGGCGTCCATTTCAATGACCTCAGGGTCTAAAGTAGGCTGCGGGGTCAAATGGGCTGACGTGTTGGCTCTGGTGGTAGACATGCTGCTGCAGATTGGGTAAAGGTGGCTGTCACAAAAGCAAGGATCTCGGTAGAAGGGCCTGGAGGACAGGTAGAGAAGGAAAGAGTAGACGATGTAGGGAACTAAGGAGGAGGGATGTGGAGGAAATGGGGACAAGGAGAGGAGTTGGAAAAGGAAGGAGATATGGGAAAGGAAGGAAGAGGATAGGAGAGAAAGGAAGGAGAAGGGATGGGGTGGGAAGGTTGAGGAGGGGAGGGAATGTAAAGAAGATGGGAAGGGAGGGAGGAGGATAGTAAGAGAAGGAAGGAGAGGAAGGGGAAGGGATCGAAGTGGGAAGAGAAGAAAGAGGATGGCTGGGGATGGAAAGATGAGAAGGACTAGGGAAGGAGAGAGGAAAAGGGGAGGGGATGGAAGGTGAAGGAATGAGGAGGGAAGGAGGAGGCTAGTTGGGAAAGGAAGAAGGAGAAGGGAAGGGATATTAGGAGGCGGCATAGGGAAAGAACTGGGAGGAGGAATAGGAAAGGAAGGGGAGGAAGGACAGGGAAGGAGGATGAGTGATAGGGAAGGGAAAAGGAGTAGGGATAGGAAATGAAGGAGGAGGAGGGATAGAGAAGGAAGGAGGAGGCAGGATAGGGAAGGAAGGGGGAGGTGGGATAGGGAAGAAAGTGGAGGATGGTTCTGGAAGGAAAGGGAGGAGGGGAATCCACACACATGGGTATGGGGGGGCTGAGTTCTGCACAAGGCTGGCATCAATGAGAAGGGCAGGAGGTTTGGGCAGGTCAGAAGCAGGAGGCACTGCGGCAGGGACTGGATGAGCAGGGCCCCATTCTCCTTAGGCGGACCCCCCACAGCGGAACCGGCCCTAAAGGGAGGAAGAAGGTGGCAGGACAGGCAGAGGAGAGCTAGGGACTGTGAAGGTCGTGGAGGAAGGTGGAGGGACACGCAGGATCAGAGGTCCAGCGGCCAGGTCTGCCAAGTCAGGGGTGGGAGGAGGAACTGGGCCCTGGGAAGTGTAGGACGCGGCCGGGCAGGGCGTCTGCCATGCCAGCAGCGGGTGGGGGAGGGGTGGGCTGGGTGGCGCTGCAGCTCCCCAACGCCTCCATCTTCTCCCCCAGAGCCTCTGTTTTCTCCTGCAAGATCCTGGTCTTCCTTTGACGTGCAGTGCAGTCCGCCAAGGTGCCTCGACCTCCCTCAGCACTACACAGGGAAGCTTCGCAGGTGGGGGCGGCTCACCTCTGTCCCACAACAGTGGCAGTGGCAGCAGCAGCAGCAGTGGCAGCAGCAGCAGTGGCAGCAGCAGCAGTGGCAGGGACATTTTTCTTTTGCAGGGCCTATTCCTGGTAGCTCTGGGTGGAGAAGAGCTCGTGGGTGTCATATGTCCGTCTCTTTGCCCTGCATCGCCTCCCATGACATCGGCGCGGGAGCGTCCTGGAGAGCGGCCGTGGCCTCCCTGCCGCAGTCCCGCGGCGGCTTCTGCTGTGGCCGGGGGCGGCCTGGCCGGGCAGGGAGCGCTGCCGCGCCTGGGTCAGGCGTCCCCGGAGGCAGGACACCTTCCGCAGGGCTGCGTGAGCCAGGGACTGCGTGGCCTTCAGAGCAGGAGGTCGTGGGAGACACCTGCGCCTCCTCACTCCAGGTGTTCTCTGGGCGGCGGGGTGGAGATGTCCCTCCAGGGAAGGCCCGGGACTGCGCTCCTAGGAAGTGAGGTCTCCCTGGGTCTCCGGGGGCCTGGGTGGTGATGGTGCTTCCCGTGGCTAGGAATGCCCTTCTCCTGTCTTCCTGCCCTAGGGTCTCCAGGACTCCTCCTCCTCCTCCATCACCTTCCTGAGTTTCCCTGGGCCCTCACCTCGTTCCCCTCCTGGCAAGGGAGAGGAGGTGACTGGGTGGTGTCCGCTCGGTAGCCCTGACCACCTGCTTAGGTGGCGAACACAGGAGATTGATCTCGCCTCGGACAGGAGGGACGTTCATGGACCTGGACTGTCTGATCACTGGGAGTCGCCAGCGGGTGGCACAGGCCTGTTCGGGCACCCCCAGGATCTGGTGGGAGGATCCCCTGAGGGGAGTTCATCGCCTGCTGGGGGCGGGGGGATCCTGCCTCTTGCGGGTGAGGTAAAAGCTCTGCCCAAGGCAGGCGATCCCGACTGGGGTGGAGAGCCTGGGGCAGGGCAGGAGGCGGGCGCCGATCCGCGGGGTCGCCGCACGGTGGGGCAGCGTCGCAGGCAGAGAGGGGGGGAGGGAGGGTGGCGCCCGGCGGAGGCCTGCGACGCCGAGACCCGGCCTGCCAAGAGCATCGCCCGTGAGGCAGGCTGTGCGCCTTAGGTGCCAAGAAGAGGCGAGTAAACGGCGACACCCTCCGTGGTGCCCACCTCCCCGGAGCGCGGGCGCGCACTGGTCACGGGCTGTGTCCGTTGTTCTCGTGACAGAGAAAGGGCGCCGGGGCGGGCGCGGGAGCCCAGCAGAGGGCGCCGGGAAAGGGCGCCAAAGGGCAAAGGGCAACTTGTGCCGCTGAGGCAGGCGTCTGGCCCGAGATGGGCCACCGTGTGGGGACCGCTGGGGGCTGCAGCGCCCGATCTGCCAGGGCCCTTCCCGCCCGGGCGCGGCTCTGCAGGCTCCAGGGCGCCGGTCCAGGCCGGGCGTGGGGCCCGGGGCTGTGTCCGCCTCCGGCTCCCCGGGTCGCGGGCAGAGTCTGCCCCAGGCCGAGCGAGGAAGCCACCCGATCCTGCCAGCCGTCTCCAGGGACCGCCCCAGTGCCTCTGCCCCACCAGGGCCGCGAGGGTCACCAGCCCCAGCCGGGAGAGTTTCTGCGGGGGGAACGCGGGGCCCTGACCAGCCCTGATGCTGCACCCTGCGACCGCAGCTCCCAGCCCCAGCCTGTGGATCTGTCCTGGAGCGTGGCCTGTTAGGAACCGGGGGCACAGCAAAGCCTCACCTCTATTTACAGCCACCCCCATTGCTTGCGTGGCTGCATAAGCTACGCCTCCTGTCAGATCGGTGGTTGCATTGGATTCTTTTTTCTTTCTTTTTTTTTTTGGTGACCCATTGCAACTTTTTTTTTTTTTAGCGTATTATGGGGGTACAAGTGTTGAGGTTACATATATTGCCCATGCCCCCCTCCCCCCTCAAGTAAGAGCTTCAAGCGTGTCCATCCCCCAAACGTTTCACATCTTACTCGTTGTGGTTGTATATACATAGGAGCACAAACCACACTGTAAACTGTGCATGCGAGGGATCTAGGCTGTAGACTCCTTGTTAGAATCTAATGCGTGATGATCTGAGGTGGAGCTGAGGCGGTGATGCTAGCTCTGGGGAGCAGCTGCAAGTACAGATTATCATTAACAGAGGAGGTTGGCTGCTCAATAAATGTAATGCACTTGAGTCATCCCTAATCCGTGGAAAAAATGTCCTTGAAACCAGTCCTTGGTGCCAAAAAGTTTTAGGGGACCTCTGCCTTATGACATCCCTTCTTGGCAGATAGGTTCTCTTTACTTCTTTTCACAAATTTGGTAAAACCATAGTTAAGCCTTAGATGGTTCCTCAAGTCACACAGGTGGGAGTGGCCCAGCCATGGTTTGGACCCAGGAGGTGTGATTCCAGAGCTCCTGCCTACCAGTCATGGGTACATCATGAGTCATCAATGTATCATCATTTTTTTCTGTCGTTTTTAGGATACTTAGCACCATGACATATCTATACTAAGCACATGCACACCTAGGAGGAGGTCTTTACTTCAACTTCACTAAGTTGACCATGGCCCACGCCGGGCTCCAGTCTCCTCAGAAGATGTAGAGCAGGCCCACCCACCGTCAGTGTAGCATTAGCCCACATTTCTCTTCTAATGGAGCCTTGCAGCCCAGATTTTTTTCTTTTTATGGGTCTGGTTTGAAGGGTCCACATATGTAAAGACTATATTCTACATCAATTTTGTTCTATCTGGAAAGAAATTCACCTGTGGATTAATCTATATAGATAGAAGCCAGTTTTTCTGGGCTTCCTGGAATTTGTCTAAAAAGAAAATATATTCATTTACAACAGTGGAGCACTGTGTTGGATTAAAACAAGATTAACACAATTTAAACATTGTGAGCCTGACAGCGGGGCCCACTCTTCAGTACACATTATGGTCACCTACAGGGAATTCTAGATATTCTTATGCCCAAGAGAGGAGATGTACTTTTGTGTGTTAAGGTAAAGGAAACATGTATGGTTGTCCTAGGATGGGAAACTTCAGGGTTATAAGAATGATTTAGAAAATCCTACATGTAGCTTTATCTAGTTTTAACCTTGTTTCTTTGGCTTATTACACTGGAGTATATTTCTTATTCATTGACATATGACAGGCAGAAGTTTCAGAATCAAGAATCAGAGATCAGTAAAGATGTTTTTATACATTTTTTATTTTTTTTGAGACAGAGTCTCGCTTTGTTACCCAGGCTACAGTGAGTACCGTGGCGTCAGCCTAGCTCACAGCAACCTCAAACTCATGGGCTCAAGCAATCCTGCTGCCTCAGCCTCCCGAGTAGCTGGGACTATAGGCATGTGCCACCATGCCCAGCTAATTTTGTCTATGTATATTAGTTGCCCAATTAATTTCTTTCTATTTATAGTCTCGCTCTTGTTCAGGCTGGTTTCAAACTCCTGACCTCGAGCAATCCGCCCGCCTCGGCCTCCCAGAGTGCTAGGATTACAGGCGTGAACCACTGCGCCCAGCCTATACATTTTTAACTGTAAAATGATCTGTTTAAAATAACATTGGGCATAATTAATATATTACAAAATTGGTTTATCCCTCTGCTCATAAGATTCCTTTTATAGTATGTCAGAGCAAATTTGGATTTCCATCCCCAGCAAGGTTAGACTCGTTAGGGCACAGAAAGTTTTTCTCACAGCCACATTCTGTTTGAAAAGAGGAGAAATAGTATAAGCCCATTCTAACCCTTCCACAAGCAGAAATGATTTATAGTATGGCATTTAACCATAATTCCTTGATATCATTTGATTAAAGTTTAATAAGGAATAATTCCTTAATTTTGTTTGTTGATGTGAACACAAATACCAACCTGGTACACATTTTGACCACAGATTTCCTGTGGAAATTCTGAAAAAAGATGATCACATCTCAGACTTATTTGAAAACAATAAATTACAGTCATGTTATTTCCAGTTTTTACCCCCAAAGTGTAAAAACTCATTAAGCATAAAACAAATAGTTGGGATTTAGGACAATAAAAGGGAATTTTGACAAGGGCATGCCAGAAAAGTTTACCTCTTGATTTATCTTGTCACATGGGAATAGATGGAAAAGATGCTTCTTTGAGATATAGAATATTCTTTTACTTGTCCTTGTAAGGAAAAATAACACTAGATGGCAAATGGGTATTATGAGATCATTTGGCTTGGCAAAAGCAAACAATTTGTCAAAGTTAAAGGCTTTCCAAAAAAGGAACTTAAAAAATATGTTAATAGTAACAGCAATTTATGATAGCCGGGTGAGATAATTTTTAATCTGACAAATTTTAAAGCACTAATCTTTAGTCACAGCAGATTAAGCTGGGGGTGGCCAACATTGGAGGGAATTGTGGTCATGATGCTAAAGCCCTAGCTGGAAACCTGTGATTGAACACTCACTCCTTTTGTCTTGTCTTCATCACCAACAATCCATTGTCAGTCTTACAGAGTTACTGTAGGGACATAACTGAGTCCGCTAGACTTTACTGATCCATAGAGCTCATGAAATCAGCTATTTTCCCTACAGTAACTTTTGTCTCCTTGTTTTCAGTCCTTCTTCTGTCTTCTGCCCTTTACTATAACCAGAGCTCAGCAGCAACGGACTGGCTTTGTGCAGCTCTTTCTTGGGGTAATCTCTTCTTTATAGTTTCATCTATTACCTCTCCTATCCGCTTTTTGTTTTCCAGAAATGTATAAAAACCTTTCTGTGGTTGATGACTTCCATAACATTTTGGTTTCTATTGGTCTACAAATTTTGATATTTCTACAATTTTATTTAAATATGATTTCAAGAGGAACACAGAGTAAATATGTGTCCCTGGTCTCCTATCTTGAAAGTCCCTGAAAGACTGAAAGTCCGTGTTGATTCTTGTATCTGGCCTTCCCAGAGGACAACAGCAACCTCAGTATTAATAGATATAACATTGAAGACTCCAACTTTTCTTGATCAATCTCTAAGGAGTTAGTATGTCATAACTTCCAATGGGGAAATAATACCTATCCCATGGAGTTGATTTGAAGATTAAATTAAATAATTAACATGAAAATGCTTTGTAAAGTTTCAAGCTCTGTAAAAATGCTTTGTGCTAGTTGTTTCTTTGCTGCTATATCATTTTTATTTAGGACACTATTTATATGGGAAAGTACCATTTGCTTTACTGTTTTGAAAACCAGACAGTATTTTCAATAGCTCAATGGAAACGAATGGCATTGTTTGTGAGGGTTGGGGACGAAGCCATAGTAATTTCTCAGCACCTGTCACTGCACAGTATTTTTAGTAATTCATGTATTCATGTCCTCTTCCTTCCAATTTTGTTGAAAACCTACCTTGAGCCACATGCTTTACTTCAGGTTTTGGCAAACATTTTCCAGATTTTAAATATTAATGTTTTGGATTTTGTGGGCCCTATGTAGTTTCTGTAGCTCCTCTTCCTCCTTTTTCCTCCTTGCTTTTCTTCTTCTTCAATCACCCTTAGCCATTGTTAGCTCACAGGTCACACAAAATGATTTGTGAACCACTTTTTCTCAGTCTCTGTTCTATGTCTTTACTGAGTAGAAGGCACATCTTTCAGTAAATCACTTCTTTGAATCAACTATTGGTTTCCCCAGTCTCGTCCTTGCTCTCCTACAGTCCCTAATTAACATGGCATCCACAGAGATCAACTAAAGTCAGATCATGTCACTGAAATCTCTTCAATGGCTTACTCGGTGCAAACACCCCAGTCCTCAAAATGCCTCTAAAA